TGTAAACACTCATGTGCAGGGTTTTGTATGGATATAGTTTTCAACTCATTTGTGTAAATATTTAGGAGTGTGATTGCTGGATCATATGGTAATACTATATTTAGCTTTGTAAGAAACTGCAAAACTATCTTTTAAAGTGACTGTACCATTTTGCATTTGCACCAACAAAGAATGAGAGTTCTTTGTTGCTCCACATTCTTGTCAGTATTTGGTATTGTCAGTTTTTTTTTTTTCATTCTAATAGATTGTAGTGGTGTCTCTGTTTTAATTTGTGGTTCCTAATGATATATGATGTTGAGCATCATTTTATATGCTTATTTGCCATCTTCTGTCTTCTTTGGTGAGGTATCTCTTCAGATCTTTCGTCCATTTTTAAATTCGGTTATCTTTTTATTGTTGGGTTGCCAGAGTTACATATTCTCGATACCTGGTCCTTTATCAGATATATGATTTGCAAATATTTTCTCCCATTCCATGGGTTGTCTTTTCACTTTCTTTTTTTTTTTTATAAATTTATTTATTTATTTGTTTTTATTTTTGGCTGTGTTGGATTTTCTTTGCTGCGCGTGGGCTTTCTCTAGTTGCAGCGAGCGGGGGCTACTCTTCGTTGCGGTGTGCGGCCTTCTCATTGCAGTAGCTTCTCTTGTTGCGGAGCACGGGCTCTAGGCGCGCAGGCTTCAGTAGTTGTGGCGCACGGGCTTAGTTGCTCCGCGGTTTGTGGGATCTTCCCGGACCAGGGCTCAAACCCGTGTTCCCTGCATTGGCAGGCAGATACTTAACCACTGCGCCACCAGGGAAGCCCCGTCTTTTCACTTTCTTGATGGTATCATTTGCAGTACAAAAGTTAATTTTGTGTAGTCACATGGTTTTATCTCCTAGTCACTTGCATTCTTATTGTTTGTAGAATGTGCAGGTGCAGAGACGAAAGAAAGCGAGAGGAAGGGCAGTAGAAACAGCAAGGAGGTGAGAGATGACTGTGGAGAGGCATTGAAACAAGGCATGGGTGGAGCAGTGGAAAGAGTAAAGAGGATCTGAGTAAAGGCTGCACCTCTTGCTGTGGTAGTATTGGACCTATGTTCCCAGAATGGATTCTGTTTGCTTTGTAGCCCAACAGATATGCTTGGTTCACTATCAGAATCCTGCACCCGCTTCTAGTGCAGTCTTGAGAATGAGGCTATCAAGGCAGGGGTCTTGCCTCTTAGTACTCTCATTCCTAGGTAGCTTCTCCGTATTTTCTCTGAGAAAGGTACGTAAATGTAAAAGGAGTTTTTGAGGTCCTTCCATAGAAAATACCAGTGATCAATGTTCCTCAAGGGCAGGGATTCTGTTTCACTTGTCTTTTCATCTCTCAGAACCTAATACAAAACCTGGCACACAGACTTCCAATAAATGTTTGTTCAAAGGGTGATAGAGGTGGGAGACAATGGATAGGGCCAGAGAGGGAGGCTTATTATTGGCTGTGGAGGATGTTTGAATGCAAGGAGTCTCAGGCAGCCCCCGCTCGGAAAAGAAGTGTCTCTGATGACAACAAGGGAAGCAACTAAATAAATTCTGATTCCCACTGTACACAGGAGCTGATGGCTCCCGAGATAGATGCGGGGACTCCAGAACCCTCTGCGGAGTGAAGAGACTAAACCGGTGTCACATTTGAGCTGTGTTCTTAGCGGGAGGGGGAAGGGGAGGAGAAAATCGACCAGGAGGAGGCGGAGCCTCCGGGCCAGCATCAGCTTAGTGGAGGCTGGAAAGGCTCTCCTCTTTCCCCTCCCCTGTTGCCTCCACCTGGCTCCTCCCCGTGTTCGCCAAGCTCCCCTCCCCCCTTCCCCAAGGACAATCTGCAAGGAAGACCGGGCGGAGGAGAGCTAAGACTGTAAGGCAAGAGGGGCCCTTGGGTAAAGAGCGAGGGGGAAAGCTGAGAGCGAGGTGGGAATGAACGTGCTGGGAGGAGGCGGTGGGGAGAACAGAAAGGAGCAGAAGGGAAAAAAAGAGGTGGCATAGCATCAGAAGAAGGAGCTGAGGCGGGGGATGGGTGAAGAATCCTAGCCCCTTCGCTCGGCTTGCACGCACTGCCCCTTTGCCTGGAAATCACGGATGGGTGGGTGGTATTCGGACCTCGTGGCCCTCGGCTGCCCGACTCCTACCCTGGCACTCATCCAGTTCAAATCAGTGCACCTAGAATGCTGCCACTCCAGTATTTCTCCCTCCCGCGTGCTTATCTCCGCGCCTGTGATTTTATATATAGGTTTTAACATATCTGTTTCTACGTGTGTCACTGTTGATCTGTTTATTCATGAATCTGCTTGCATATCTGTGACTGGTGCTTCTATAACATAGAGATGCAGAAGAAGAATTTGAGCTGTATTTTGCCGGTCCGCACTCCTAACCTTCCCCGTTTATGATGAATTCTCTCCCTCACTGAAGCCTCTGTGGGTGGAAGATCCCTGTATGGGTTTCTGCCAGTGATGAGCTCCCAGAGTGGCTGAGAAGAAAAAAACTCAGGGAAAAAGGGATCAGCATAGTACTCACATGTTTTGTTCTTTTCTTTCCAAAATTTTGCCTTCCTATTTGCAACCACTTAGTCTTTCTTTTTTTTGAGAACTGCAGAAATTTGCACAGGAACACTCTGGTTAAATAGGAGAGTGTTTCTATCTATGTGTGTTTGTATTCCTCTCACTGTTTGTCACTATCTTCTTTCTTAGGTCCCATTTGTATCTGTATGTGTTAGAAGTAGAGGGAATATAGAGGTACATCTGTATCCAAGCATATTTTAAAATTTTTCTATATTTGTGTGCATTTCCTGTTGTTTGTCAGTTCACTGATGCTTTCCATAAGAGTTTATTGAACTCCTGTTCTTATGTGCATAGACTTCTTTAGGCTTTGGTAGGCCGTGGGAGAGTTTAAAAAATGAACATGATCCACCCCCCGAGGAGTTTTCAGTCTAGTTGGGGAAATGACTTTAGCAATCATTAGTCCAGGTGTCTGCAAACTTTTTCTGTTAAAGGCCAGATAGTAAATGTTTTAGGCTTTGCAGGCTATCGGGTCTCTGTCACAATAATCTCTTCTGCACAAAAGCAGCCATAGATAATATGCGAAAGAATGTGAGTGGTATGAGCACTGAAATCTGGATTTCATATAATTTTCACATGTCATGGAATTGTTTTTTCCACCACTTAAAATGTAAAGACTTTTCTTAGTTTTCTGCCATACAAAAACATTAGAAGGGCTTGATTTGGCCTGTGGGCTGTAGTTTGCTGACTCCTTATCTAGTCCAACCTTTTCAGTAAGTAAGAAGCAATTAAACTATCGCATAAAGTAGTAATTAAGTGCTAAGTGAATGATCTGGTTTCAGACAATGTGTGATTAGAGGAGGTCCAGAAAGAAGCCCTCCTTGACCTGTGGTAATCAGTGAGGGCTTAATAGGTTTAACAGGGATGTGAGTAGGACGGGCCTTAAATAATGGAGTAGGATATTGATCTGTGGAAAGAACCAAGGTGGCCTTCCGGACAAGTGATGCAGTGTGCACAGGCACAAAAGTGGGGAGGAACAAAGAAATGTTCAGGTGATAACGGAGCAGAGAATTCATGGGAGCAAAGGTTGAAACTCTAGGCAAGAGTTAGATCATGGAAGTTTGAATGCCAACCCAAAAAGTTTGGGTTTATCTGTCAGCACTGATTATATGTAGCATGTCTGTGAATCTGTGTTTGTTAACAGCACTATGTGTGTTTCTGTATGTTTTTCTTCATGAGTGTCTCATTGCATGTATTTTATTGGCATGTGTGTGGATCTGTATGTGGATGTGACCTATGTCTTTATCAGCAGCTACCCTGATTGCCCTGGGTTCACAGCAGAAACATGAGCTGTATTTAAAGGTCATCAGCTCCTGTTCGTGTGAATGAATCCTCCCTCCACCGAGGCCTCAGGGGCCTATGACCTTCCCATGGAGGTTTATTTTGTGTCTCAAATAGAGTGGAGAAGGGAAGCACAAGCAGAGGGAGACCAGCTATTGTAGTAAGCAATTCAGGTGGAAAGGGGCAATGAGGACAGAAAGGAAGAGAAGGATAAGGGAAGATAATAAGAAGGAAGAATAATAGGGTTTGGTAACCATTTTGATTCTGAGAGTAAAGAGGAGATAAATTTAAAAAATAACAGATTTTAGCCCGGATAACTGGGAGAGTGATGATTCCATTGGCACTTTTATGGATACAAAAGTAGGTCTTTTGTTTTCCTTTGAGAGAGAGAAGCCCTAAAGACAAAAATATGAAGGTGTTCACATGTCACGTGTACATATCTGTGTATATGTGGCAGTGATTTTGTGTTACTCTTCCCATTTGATAGTATTTAGTGTGAGGAACAAGGCCTGAAGATAAAGGATCAAGAGATGCTTAGGAGGCAGAGACCCTGAGAGGGATGGGAAAAGCCAGAGAAAGTCCCTAACCACTCCTGAGCCTGAACCATTATTTTGCCCGAGCTCCAATGTGCCTCTATAACCTCAAACTCCTGTTCTAGCTTAGCCCAATTCCATCACACCAGACCCTAATCTTCACCATAACCCACCCTGCCCTTGCTTTTCTGCTTCCACTTTGCTAGTTTTCAGTGCCCCAAGCCTCATCTGATTCCTATCCACTGCAACAGCCCTTCCCTTCATTAAAAGGGAGGAATCTTTGAGGCTAACTTAACTTTTTCCTTTCTCATTTCTGTTCAGTCACCCACCCTTCTCCTTGACCTTAGCGCATTCTCCAAATAGGCTCCAATTGGGGTGGGAGGGATTAGCGAGGATTTTTGCAGTCTTGGGCTTGATTTCTGTGACATTTCAGCTTGTCACTCTGTGGGGTGTGGCTCTCTTCTGGAGGAAGTCCAAAGCTCCCAGGCTGCAAAGCTCAGACTCAGTGTAGTGGGAGAACCTGACTGAGGTGGCTGTAGCCAGTCTAACAGAGCCATCATTCCCTGAGCTCATAGCACCTTGATCCCGCTGTGTCTTAACTGGCCATTCTCTTGAATTCTAGAGTGGATCATGACCCATGAAGAGCACCATGCAGCCAAAACCCTGGGGGTTGGCAAAGCCATCGCCGTGTTAACCTCCGGTGGCGATGCCCAAGGTAAGGAGGAGGGCCCAGCTTGGGGGGAGACGAAAGCCGTGGCTTGGAGGCTGCCTTGAATTTCCTCACTCCCCTAGCCTGTAGAACAGAACTACCCTCCTGAAGATCCTCCTGCTGTAGATTCACACTGGAATCTTGGGCTTCCCTAAAACTCTGTTAGATCTAAGTCCACAAGTGCTTTTGGATTTCATTTGCTCTGCTTTTATTTACTTAAGTCTCCATAAATCATCTTTCCAAGTTTCTCTGAAGATTTGGGACCATTTGGTCCTTTGGTACCTAGAAAACTGGTGTTTTCTCAAGCAACATTGGAAAGAAATAGACTAAAGAGATAAAATTGTTGAGGGGGCAGTAGGTGGATTCACTTCAAGTACGTTGGAAATGATGGGGAAAGGAGGAGATTTGGCATTGGTATTTGGTGGGGCCTAGTGAATCTTAAGGTACCAGTTCTGATGTCTGCAGAGCTCCTGCACTGTCCAGGGTTAGGTGCCTCACTCTTACAGCACAGTTCCTTCTACTAGGCACACTTCTGCATCATACTGTCATTCTCTGGCCTTTCTTCCCCTTCCATTCCTTTAACCCTTGAACAGACGGAAACAGCAGCAGTTAATCAGTACATATCCAAGGGGGTGGGGCAGAAAGCAAAGCCAGAGAGAACCCGTCTCTGGGTTGAGTCCAAGAAACCTAGGAGTCAGAAATATCAGGTATATGGAAAGATGAAGTGGCAGATAGGGGATGTGGTGTTTTTTTCTCAATTTATTATTTATTTATTTATTTTTACTGTTTTCCCTCTTTGATGTACGTTCTTGTATATCGTAATTTGTGATCTGTTGAAGAGAGGCAGAATTTCTTTGAAAGGGATACTAGGACATGGAGACTGTGATGAGGAAAAGAGAGAAAGAAGGGGATCTCAGCTAGCCTCCCCTTCCCTCTGCTCCACTCTCCCTAGGCTTTCCTAGACTTTGTGTCAAGCACCCACTTTGTATAGTGCCCTGTCCTGTGTGTTGTGGAGAAGTTGATTTCCTTCGGGAACTTTAATGAGGAAAGATATCATACATTACTAGAATTCTTACGTAAGGCACATAAATAAAAATAATCAAGTGTGTCTTAACCAAGTAGAATCCACTTACGTAATGAAATGATAGGCGTTGGTTGGATTAACCAGGGAAAAGTTCATGAAAAAGATAGATTTCAAGAAACTGAACTCTTCATTTAAGTAAAGTGCTTAGAATAGTACATGATGCAATAAATGCATTACTAATTAAATAAAAAGTGAATTGTTGAGCACCTGCTGTGTGCCAAACAGGATGGCAGGCACTAAGGCTACATCAGTGGAAGAGTCACACACCATCTTTGCTCTGCTGATCCTTCTTATTAGTATATTAGTTAAGCTAGACTTTAAGTATATTTTAAACTAATGTTTATAACTGTGATATGTATTATGAACAGGAGAACGCTCTAATGAGGAAACAGGAAGGAGGGCACAGAGGCCTGAGTTTAGGAATAGGAGCCAGATTAGGAATGCAGAGCCCTCCTGGAGGCTGTAGAGACTGCTGACCTGGCTTCTGTTGCTTCTCTCTCCTCTCCTGGAAAGAATCCCATGCCAATAATGAGTTCTTCAACAGGAACTCTGAGTGTTGATCCTAAAACCTTGGTAGGATGGCCTGTGGAATTGGATTGTCAGATTAGGGGAAGTGAGAGCCTGCTAAAAATTCCAGATGAAGCACACAGAGTTCTGCATTTATGAAAAAGTAGAGCTTCCTGGAAAGGGAAAGAGGTTAAAAAAAAAAAAAAAGGTCTAAGATTTAACGTGGGTCCAAGAGCAGCAGAGCCCTCTCAGCTTCTGATCCTGAGCAGAGAGACCCTCTTATTCTAGAGATGCCCATCACCCACTTTAAGGGAAGGATCGTCTTCTGTGGAGGCAGGGGCTATTGATAAGCTCATTTCTAGAGGGCCCAACTGGACTGACGCCTATGGGATTCTGTGACAGGCACAGTGTACCCAGGGAAACACCCCACTGTGAATCCCCATAACATCACAGGTGCATGTCAGTAGGGACTGAGCGTGGTAGAGGATGTAGAGGATGGAATTCTAGGGAGGAAGGAAGCAAAACAGAAAACTCAAAGTAGAGCTGAGAGGTCCCAACTGAGAGAGCAGCTCAAATGCAGAAGTGACCTTCCTGGAGATGGGTTTGAGGGGCCCTAGTTCTCACAGGGAAAGGGCACAGAAAGGTTTTTCCCTAGAGGCTGTGGGACACATGGGAAAGTGAGTTTGGGCTCTGTAAGATCAAGAGGGGCCTCAGCTCTGTCATTCCCTGAACTTAGCAAGGCTAGTAACCTCTTAAAGTAGAAGAGTGGCCAGGAATCAGACATCCTGAACTCAGAAACTGGGCTGATTGGATACGAAATCCTAACTCCCTTTCCAGCCCAGAAGTGGTCCAGTCCTCTTAAAACCATGCTACACTTGGCCTTATGAAATCGGCATATTCTGCTGGAGAGGGCCTCAGTCATCTACTCTATCCCTCTGTCTCCAGACAGGCAGTCCGTTCCAAATGCATGTTTATCCTATTTTTAAAGGTTCATAGGAACAGGATTCTATTCCCTCTCTGGATTGCTGTTGTAGGATTTACAATTTTTAATTGCATATCCATCAGAAAGTATAATTCACATCTAACAAATATTTGCTCCTCATGTCCTTTATTTCTTATTTAATGTTCAGTTAGGGTAGAAAGAAACTTTTCAGCAAAAAGGTAGTGACCAAGTCATACATTGTTTCTTCTTCTATCTCATGTCATAGAGACCCATCACCCCTAGCTCTCCCTAAAGCCTCTTCCCAACAGGCTGTAATTGGAGACTCCAAAGTATGTGCGTCTGATGCTCTCCAGAGCCCCTCCTGGCTGTACCCAGAGTACCTACTGGATGGTGCCTGTAATCTTATCCTTCATCTTGCTTCTAATAAGTCAGACAGCTGCTCATAGAGGGTTATTTAGGGCAACATGGAGCAGCCAAAGACTGGCCTGGGACCAGAAGAGGCCAGTGATGTTAAGTAGGAGAGCCCAAAGAATTCCTGGGGGAGCTTCCCTGGTGGCGCAGTGGTTGGGGGTCCGCCTGCCGATGCAGGGGACACGGGTTCGTGCCCCGGTCCGGGAAGATCCCACATGCCGCGGAGCGGCTGGGCCCATGAGCCATGGCCGCTGAGCCTGCGCATCTGGAGCCTGTGCTCCGCGGTAGGAGAGGCCACGACAGTGAGAGGCCCGCGAACCGCAAAAAAAAAAAAAAAAAAGAATTGCTGGGACTTTCTAGTGTAAGCTATCTATACAGCCCAGTCTGTGATTTCTAGGGAACTAGGGGTTTGAGACACAGGCACAGAGGCACAAAAGGGGTCCTAAAACTCGATTTCTAGGGAAACACTCAGATATCCAATTCAGAGGCAGGAAGGATGACCTCTGGAGGTTGATACGGTTGAAGTGAGAAGGCAGAGGGAGGAGAAAAGAGAATCTTCTTATGGGATTTCTCTTCTGCCCAATGGATTTGGATATTTCCTGTCCACCATCTGTTGTTTGCTTTACACTTAAAACCTTTTAAGTGATTTGTTTTCTTTAAATGTTTTCTCCCCTACTCTTGCTCACCTACGGAGCAGGAAACAGCATTCCAGCTTATATGTTTCAGAAGGTTTTTTCCTTACTTCTTAAGATTACAGATTTATACTCCGGGACTCCAGGTATCCGAAAGAGAATTCCATAGGCCTTGTGAAAGTCTAGAAAATAGATAAACAAACAATAGTTTCGTATCTGTTCTGATCTTTTTAAGTTGAGTTTATTCATCTTTCCTAAAGCACTGATGGCTTTGTGTTGACTCTAACCTTTTCATACACACAGGCTTTTCCTAAAGCTTCTGAGAAGCCCCCTTCCATTACAGATTTTTGTTTTGATTCGTTTAAGTCCTTCAATTAGACTTCTAGACTTCATGGGGCTTTGCCTTAGTGATGTCATAAGTAAGTTTTCTTTTTTTTTTTTAACATCTTTATTGGAGTATAATTGCTTTACAATGGTGTGTTAGTTTCTGCTTTATAACAAAGTGAATCAGCTATACATATACATATATCCCCATGTCCCCTCCCTCTTGCGTCTCCCTCCCATCCTCCCTATCCCACCCCGCTAGGTCGTCACAAAGCACGGAGCTGATCTCCCTGTGCTATGCGGCTGCTTCCCACTAGCTATCAATTTTATGTTTAGTAGTGTATATATGTCCATGCCACTCTCTTCACTTCGTCCCAGCTTACCCTTCCCCCTCCCTGTGTCCTCAAGTCCATTCTCTACGTCTGCGTCTTTATTCCTGTCCTGCCCCTAGGTTCTTCAGAACCTTCTTTTTTTCTTTTTTAAGATTCCATATATATGTGTTAGCATACAGTATCTGTTTTTCTCTTTCTGACTTACTTCACTCTGTCTGAGGTAAGTTTTGACATCATTGCTCACCAATGACCTCTTGTTGGCAAGCCCAACCTTCTCGTCCTCACCTTAGATCAATTATCAGATGCATTTGGCAATGTTCCCACTTCTTGAAACTGTCTCCTTTGGCTTCCAAGACATTGCTAAGTCCTGGTTCTCCTCTTGCCTTTCTTGCTAGTTAATTTTCATCATGGAACCCCTGTTAGTTTTCATCATGTTAGTTTTAGTTTTAGTTTAATGTTAGTTAGTGTTAGTGTTAGTTTTCATCATGGAACTCCTCTTTCTCTGCCCATTCCTTCAATGTTGGTTTTCCTCAGGGTTCCATTCCTTGCCCTTTTCCCGTCTAATTTTACATATTTTCTTGAGGCAGTCTCTTCCAACTCCACATCGATGTTCCACAAGAACTTCAAACTCAACAGATCCAAATATAAATATATCACCCCCACCCCTACCTTCCCGAACCAAAAGCCGCCTCTGCTCAGTTAACTGCACCACCGTTTTCCCCGTGGCCTAAGCCAGTCACAGGACATCTCCTCCTTCCTCTCCAACACCTTGAAATCTAATCACATGGCCGATTAGATGGAAGTCCTGTTGCTTCTGTTTCCTAGGCGTCTCTTGTCCAATATCTCTGTTTTTTCCTAAATGCCACTCTCCCAGTCTAGGCCCTCATCGTTTTTGTCTAGGCTGCCATCTAACCCTAGTGTCACCTCTTTCATTCTGTCTTTCACATTGCTGCCAGAGTGATCTTTCTGATACTTAAATCTCATCATGTCCCACCGCTCTCAAAGTTTTTCAAAGATTCTCTGTTGCTTGCAACTTTTTTTTAAGGTTACAGACCCCTTTAAGAATCAAGTGAGGGACTTTCCTGGTGGTCCAGTGGTTAAGACTCCATACTTCTACTGAAGGGGCTGCAGGTTTGATCCCAGGTCCGGCGGGGAACTAGGATCCCGCATGCCATGCGGTGCGGCCAAAAAAAAAAAAAAAAAAAAGAATCAAATGAAAGTTGTGGACCTTCTCCCAAAAGAAATGCCTGTGCCCACAAAGCTTTTCATATAGTTTCATGGGGTTCATGGATTCCCTGAAACTATCACCCATGGATCCCCAGTCAAGCCCTGGCCTTCAGAATAAAAGCCAGACTTCCTCGCTGGGCACACAGGTGCCTGCCCATCTGTGTAGCTTCATCTCGCCATCATTTTACATTTTATTCTTTATAATACTGAATTTCCTAAGGTTATTTCTTGACCCTCACCTTTATTTGTGCTATTCCTCCTGTCTATAACACTCTCCCCAAATTCATCCACCTAGCAAAAAGATTTGAAAGGAAATTATCCTTTAGGCCTCAGGACAAATGCTGTGTTTTCTGTATCACCTTCACTGGCTTCCTCCTGGCAGCGTAGATGTTCCTTTTCCTTGTCCCCGCTGCACTTTGTATAAATCCCCTCCACATGGATCCAATTTGGAATAACACTATAATTCTTCCCAAGTCTTGAGGACCATTCCTGAGTCCTTTATCTTTGTGTCCCCAGACTCTCTATCATTCCGTGGTGCGTACCCAGTGCCTACATAGTGTCAGGAGCATGAGAGGTATTTAATAGATATTTGTTCAGTAAGTGAATTAACCTTCAATTTAATTTGGAGCTTGTCGCCATGTAATACCAACCTTTGTCGGCCTGCAAACAAACAAACCCCCAAAACAGACATTCTGGTCTTTTTGATTCTATTCCATTCCAGATAGCTTTGGATAATGCAATGGTTTGTTATGGATTTTAGTCTGCTGCTGCAGACTTTTCCAGTTACTGACTTCTCTAGTGCTCACTGGTATATGATATTTCCCCAGGCAGGGTTAAGGACCCTATGAATAGATTTTAGATTGAAACAAAAATGTGTAATGTATACAGGGGTATCTGAGGGAGGGTGATTAAAGTGGTTCACAAGAAGCTGATCCATCACAGCATCACCTCCTCACATTACAAGGTAAGACAGGGTTACCAGGATCAAGACCCAGGAATGTCTCACCAGTGAGGCTGTGCTGAGCACAGTAAGCAGTGGCATCGTTTCTACTGTGGAGGTCTTCACAACCGTGTGTTGTGTGTTGAGACAGGTCAGCTCCTCCCCATACTCTTGGGAGAGAGTTCCTGTCATTGAGTAGCTACTAGGAGAAGGATAGTACTCACATGGGAAAAGGAGGAAAGGCTTTCCTCTCTGTTTCAGCCCTAATTGTTTCTCCCAGTGGAAACAGAATAATTGGCAGTGTGATTTGTAAGTTCGTCATACACATGTTACACACAGGGTCACAGGAGAAGATCAGTGCGGGAGAAGGAGAGCATAGAGTCTCCACAAATTCTGTCTGCACACTTGGTCACAACCTCTTCTGGTAGTTTGGGAGCCAGAGAATCTCAGTGTGTGGTGCACACTGGGACATACACCAACTCAGTGACACTAAAAAAAAGCTGTGTGTGTGTGGAGACTGGGAGAATCCGCCAGCCAGTAATTGTTGTGCTCAAGAACAGCTTGTGAATGGTCAGGTTACTGAGCCCCAGAGAGCCATGTCTTTGTCCTGAAAAGCCTATACGAGCTGGATACCTAGATTCAATGCAGAAGGCAAGGAAAAGCCTCGTACAGACATTGGGATTAGCATGGAGGTCAGCAGTGTTGGTTGAGACATTTAGGATTTGGATTAAAAGCTGAGCTCGTCCCAGCTCTGTGACCTCGACCTCTTTGAACTTCAGTTTCCAAATCTGTAGAATGGAGGCAACTCCAGAGCTGTGGATAGGATTAAATGAGTTGGCGATCGACAAGCGTCTAGCAGCATCTAACCCCACAATAAGCATTCAGGATTATTATCCCCCAGATTGCCCTGGCAAGGAAAGGTCTTAGGAAAGATGGGGTTTGGGGGGGCAGGGGAGAGGAATGGAGGTAACTTGTGCTATATTAACATTGAATGAAGTAATTCAGTGTTAGTGGTGAGGCCAGAAGAATTGGATGAGAGGATTCTAGATTCAGAGAAAAGCCTTAGAAAAGGACTGTCTCAGATCCTAGAGTCCAGGGCTGCTTTTCTTAGGATAACCTCTCTCTGACACTTTCCTCCTTGCAGGTATGAATGCTGCTGTCAGGGCTGTGGTTCGAGTTGGCATCTATACTGGTGCCCGTGTCTTCTTTGTCCATGAGGTTGGTTCTCTGCTCTGCTCCCCATTGTTCTTTCTCTGGTTTCTCCTTCCCCTCCCCACCCTCTTTCCTTACCTCCCAGTTACGTTGCTGTGTCTGGTTAGTCTCGGTTCCCTGTCTTCACAAGTCACCCCTCCCCACTCGGGGCTCCAGTAATGACGGTGGGTCCCAGGGATCTGCAGGCTGGGTCCTCGTGTTGCCTATTCGATTTAAAGTAGGAAGTAGCTCTGTCCTCCCTTTACTTCCCCCAAGAGAAGAGAAGGTGAAATGCGTTAGTATTTCACAGCAAATTCAATACATCCAGAGACAGAGCCCTAGGAGGGACAGAGCCCTAGAGTCCCACTGTGTTTCTGCAGTTTGCCTTACTTTCTGAGGTTCTAAGTCCTCTTTGGTTCCCTCCTCTCCTTTTCCTCTCATCCTTTATCCACTCTTCTTTCCATAAGGTCTGTCTGCCTTTCTTCTCTCAAACGTTATAGTCTCTTATCTTTTCAAGTCACATTTATCTCCCTTCCTCCTTCCAACATACCCTTCTTTTCTTCCTCCATTGTTGGTTATCAAAACCATCTGTCATCTAGTTCCCCTGGGAGGAAATGGGATGAACCAAAAATAAGAGGAATCAAGATCAAATATTAGGAAGGGCATTCTGATGTTTAGAGAATGAGAGAAACTAGAAGAGGGTATTGAAAAAGCTGACGTCTCCTTCCTTGGACTGTGTTATTCTCAGGAGCACCCAGGCGTCAGTAATGGGAGGCGGGATGGGTGACTTGATTCTCAGAGAACCTCTTCCCAGGGACTTGGTCTTAATCCTGGGGGTTTGGGGGAAGCCTAGCAGAGGCTGAATGGGTGTAATGTACCCCACAGGGTTATCAAGGCCTGGTGGATGGTGGAGATAACATCAGGGAAGCCACCTGGGAGAGTGTTTCGATGATGCTTCAGCTGGTATGTTCCAGAGGATTCCTGTCCCGTGTTTGTCCTGTTCTTGTCTCACCCCTACTTGGATTGGGGCTCGTGGTTTCCTGAATTCCCTGCCATGTGGTTTGATAAGAAGGGATTCTGTGACCAGAGAGGGGCTATGTTTGTCCTTTACTCTTTACATTTGAAAACATCACCCTGGTTTCCTGGGGCGGGATGGAGGATTGGGGGTGTGCTCACAGGACACTTTGCTCTTTATAGAAAGGTCAGAGGCAAGACTTGAGGAACTGGCACGTAACAGGTCCTGCTCTGGGGTCACAGGGAAGGTCAGGCCCTGAAAATAACCTCATCAGAGGACTGGGGCCAGAGCCAGAGTAGAGCTGAAGTTTGCCAGTCCTCATGTGATGGCGATGAGGTGACCTGATACCAAACCTTTTAAGGAAGGAAGGAACGGAGTGAGCGTTTTAGAGTTTAAAGAAGAATCTAAGATGATTTCTATTGTATCCACAGCCCTTTTTGCTACTTTCTCTACGTCATTCTATACTCATCTTCTGATTTACTGAAAAATCTGCACATTACATTTGTATCCTCATTCTTTACCTCAATCCCCTAAAAAAAATCCATGGGAAGAAATTTAATGAGCAGCACTTTGTGAAGGTTTTATACAGGCAATGGTGCCTTCATAAAGTGGTCTGAGAATGAGCCAGGATTGTCCATCAATACCCCCGAAGTCATGGATGCCAGGAGTTCATATGATTTGTGAAAACCCTAAGTGTACTTTCCTCTCTTGGGGCGTCTACAAGCTCCTGGGGATTTAGGGCTTTCCATATTCAGAGCGGGTTTTTCCTGTGAATGCCTGGGTCTTGTGGCTCCTCCCACTAGCACACAGATCCCCAGGCGCAAAGGGGAAAGGATTAGCGGTGCCTTGTCCCTGTTGAAGTCACTGCTGCTGCTTCTTACACGTCTAAGATGAGAAAGATGGAGATTATTTCAGAAGCCTACAGATACATGTGTATTCCTAGGTCTCTTTAGGACAGTCACAGTGACAAAGCCTTCAGTGGAATGGGCCCATCTTAGCAGTCTTCTAAGAAGTGTAGCAGAACATGGGAATGACCCTGTGATACTTCAGCCAGTACCATCTCGCCTTCCTTTAGAAGGGGCCAGAAACAAAACAAAACAAAACAAAAAAAAACCAACTCAGTGAACTACAAGGAGGTTAAAAACAGGGAAAGCTCTGGGTAGGCCCATGCAAACCAAGCTGAAAATTAAGATAAAGTGAACAATCTTGAATGCAGTCAGAGGAGTTAGGCAGATGAAGTAGAAACGTGTCCGAGGCAATCAAGACTCGCATGTCTTCTATCAATGGCTAAGCTTGTACAATCATGTACCCTCAGACAACAGAGTTAAACGTCAGTATTCGTGACTCCGGAATTTGAAACTCATGTGAACTTCATTCATCCTTTTCATGAAGAATAAAACTTTAAAACCACACACACACAAAAGAAGGGGCCAGTGACTGTTCAGGATGTCAGGGAACTTCCTAGGGAGCCACGTGGTGATGCCAGCCCATCACAGTGTTGGGATAGGGCAATCTTAGCGTGTTGAGCCCAAATTTGGCCGCGTCACCTGGGGAGCTGACTCCCACCTCTTCCCCAAAGGGAGGCACGGTGATTGGAAGCGCCCGGTGCAAGGACTTTCGGGAACGAGAGGGCCGGCTCCGAGCTGCCCACAACCTGGTGAAGCGCGGGATCACCAACCTGTGCGTCATTGGGGGTGACGGCAGCCTCACCGGGGCCGACACCTTCCGCTCTGAGTGGAGTGACTTGTTGAGCGACCTCCAGAAATCAGGTGAGACGTTGCTCTCGTGAGTGTGGTTTCTGCGTATGGGCACACACACCCGCCTTTCCCTCCCATGGAAGAAAATTGTTGCCCAGACACAGAGGGCCGTCTTTGCCCTCTTTTATCTGCCATTGTCAACAGCTGCCATTGGCTGCAGCCCCTTTCCTCTCCAGTCACCTGCTCCCTAGCATGCCAGGGACCTCACCCAGTGCCTCCTGCTTTGCTTCCCCTTGTCAGGTAAGATCACAGCGGAGGAGGCTGCAAAGTCCAGGTACCTGAACATTGTGGGTCTGGTTGGCTCAATTGACAACGACTTTTGCGGCACTGACATGACCATTGGCACTGACTCTGCCCTGCACCGGATCATGGAGATTGTAGATGCCATCACCACTACCGCTCAGAGGTGAGGGCCCAGTGGGAGGAGGCGTGGGAGGGTGGCGCTGGGACAGACCAACCAGCTGGGGACTAGAGAAGGTGAAAGTGCTTAAGCTATGGTGACTACAGTGACCAGTTTTCTGGGACCAGAACATTGTTTTTAACTAAAAATTATCCCTAGAGCACTGAATTGCACTGCTCTATAGATGCCATAAGACTTGCCTCTGGCCACTATCTACCCACTGTCCAAATGTGTCGCTCTGAGGTCTTTAATACCTGTGCGGTCTCCTAAATGATTAAAAATGATTTGTCTAAATGATTTTTCTCCAGACTGAGACAAATCCAGGGAGCCCCAAACCTTTCCAACCGTGTCACAGAGATAGTAGTGGCCATTACGCCGCTGCTCAGAAGGGCAGGGACTCGGGAAGCAGTGCAGGAGAATGGGAGGGCGGTGCGGGTGACAGTCTCCTGCAGGTTGGTCCTGGAGGATTCAAGCTTAGTGGAGTCCTCCCTCCGATTCTTTTCCCTTCGCTCCTTCCCTTCCCAGGCCCCCTCCTTCCCAGGCACAGAGCCTCAGTACTGTCACCTTTTTCTGTGGTGTTTTCTCAGGCCTGGGACACCCTGTGGCTAAAGTGTTTACCCTGCGTCTTCCAAGTGTCTCAGGAGACCTGCTAGAAAGCCCACGGCGTAAATGCATCTCGCCGAGAGGTTCCTTGGCCTCAGTGTGGGTGGGGGCTTGGTCCTGGCCGTAGGGCCACTTGGACTGTGCAAGCCCTATGTCTGTCTCTTACAGCCACCAGAGGACGTTTGTGTTAGAAGTGATGGGCCGGCACTGTGGGTAAGATCCCCCCACCTTGACTCGTTTATGCCATGGACCAGGCAATAGCCCTTTCCTCTTCCCCGGGGAGTCCAGGGAGGCCTCCCAGTGGTGGCAGATTGGAGGTGTACACACTCCTCTTGGGGTGGCTGCCTTTCCCCGTCTCCACCCAGCCTCCCTTACATCCCACACATGCACGTGTGAAAGAGCAGACAGCGCTCTGAGATGGGGAGCCACTGTGGCAGGTGAGCGTGGATAGAGGGGCTCTTCAGGGACAGAATCCCGCTGATTAGCGGAACCAGTGGGGCTCTTCCCCTCGCCCCAAGAATGAAACGGGGCTCCTCAGACCTTTCAGTGGCTATGGGACTAGGCCTTGTCAGGAACGGGAGAGGCTGTTGGTGGAGCGTAGCTCCTGGCGCGACGCTTCTGGCTCTTGTCTCAGATACCTGGCCCTTGTCACCTCTCTGTCCTGTGGGGCCGACTGGGTGTTTATTCCTGAGTGTCCGCCAGATGATGACTGGGAGGAGCACCTGTGTCGCCGGCTCAGCGAGGTACTGGCGCCTTATTTCGCCCTTTGAAACCCCTCGCCCTGCTCTGCTGCTGATCCCTTTCCTGTCCAGCAGTTTCATAACACTGACCATGTTTTCCTTTGTTCTTGACCAGACAAGGAACCGTGGTTCTCGTCTCAACATCATCATTGTGGCTGAGGGTGCAATTGACAGGAACGGGAAACCAATCAGCTCAGAAGACATCAAAAATGTTAGTATGAATGGAGCCACAGAGGCCTTGACGCCTTACTCATCCTGGCCCCACTGCCTGGTGGTTTCTGAGTCTCCCCTGAGTCCTGCACGTCTCTCCCCAGCTTTCCTGCCCCCTGGTTTCCTCCCACCTAGGAATCATTACAAGATAAGAGGCTAAGTCATCCTTGGTTTATCTAGGTCCCTGCTTGTTTAGGGACCTTGACTTTAAGTCTAGGTCCTTGACTCTGTATCTCTCTGCCCCTCCCTTGATCCCTTCAGCTGGTGGTCAAGCGTCTGGGATATGATACCCGGGTCACCGTCTTGGGGCATGTGCAGCGGGGTGGGACACCGTCAGCCTTTGACAGAATCCTGGTAAGTCATGGGGCTCTGGGGCCCTCACCATGGAACCCTCAACCTGCTGTCCTTTCCCAGCAGGACAGTGCTTGACCAGCACAGGGGCTTCAACCGTTGCTCATGCCACCCTGCCACCAGACTCTGGACTGCAGTGGCCCTTGACCCATTCCCATGTGCTCAAGAGTTCTCTTTTGTTGCAGAAAATGTTGGGAAACGATATGCTCCCCTAAGGTCTGATATCTTAGAGCTTTGAGCATGAGTGAAAGTATTAAGATCTAACCTCAGATACTCAGTTTGTACCCTCTTATCCTACTTTCATCAGGAAGGGAATATTATTCAGCCCCAGTAATCCCCTTGATTACTATAGTGGATATGTTTCTCTGGAACCAGGTAGAATCCTTGGGGTTCAGGTGGCAAAAGGATGAAGAGTCATCAAGCTTTAGACAAAATCTGGGTCAGGAGGTAAAGCCCAGTGAGTTCTTGGCCACAGTCCTTAAATGCGGAACTCAACTCGTGATTTGGAAAGGGCCTTGAATACCCAGGTTCTCTAGGCCAAGACTAGATGGAGAGGCTTGAACCAGACTGTCTCTGCTCCCTGCAGGGCAGCAGGATGGGTGTGGAAGCAGTGATGGCACTCTTGGAGGGGACCCCGGACACCCCAGCCTGTGTGGTGAGCCTCTCTGGTAACCAGGCTGTGCGCCTGCCCCTCATGGAGTGTGTCCAGGTGGTGAGTACTGACCCCAACCTGCCTTCCTGCCAGCCCCAAACCCGTCTCTGAGCTAGAGCTAATGGGGAAAGAGAGTAGCTGCCGAGGCTACCAGGGCGGGGGCAGGTGGAGAGGTGGCGCAGCACAGGAAGAGGCGTGTGGGGAAGGCAAACGATGGGCTTTGTGCAGGAGCTGTCACCTGTCTAACTAAGCCTCAGTTTTCCCATCCTCCAGATGTTGCTAAAGACGATGCGAAACTCTGCATCCTACCTAGTAATGAGACCCATGCAGTCTCTCTCCAAACTTATTAAAAGCAGGGGAATACTATTAAGGTCTGGCTGGGTAGCTTATCCCTCTCTGATTTCTCCCTTGAACATGTTTCTCTGAACCAATATGAGGTTACTAAGAAACACTCACCCCGAGGGTGAGTATAAGGACTGGAGAGAAGGCATGTACATGGTCTGGAAGATGCTCAGTGCCCAGGAAGTGGTGGCTCTAGTTACGGGGGAATTGCTCCTCTGATACCACAGGGCAGATGCTGCGGCTGGAAGCCCAGGTGTCCGGTTGATTCTCAGGCCTGGCTCTCCGTCTCCTGGCTGCTTCTCTCTGAGACTTGGGAGTCCTAATGACCTACAGCCCAGACAAGCTCCAGCCTTGCCTGGAACCGTATCTCTAGAAGCCCCAAGCTGAAGCCGTGGCTCGCGGAGCAGAAAGCAGTAGTTGGGAAGCACATGGCAGGGATCAGCCTTTCCTCCTAACTGGTTATCTGCAGGATCGTTTTATTTAGTCATTAGTTCAGAGGCTACTCTGAGGCTGGGGCCCTGGGTGTGGAATAGAGGAGGGTGCTGTCTTATCTGTGTGTACTCCTCCACTCTGCCCATCTTCGAATAAATAGGGCATAGAATCAGCCCTTTTCTTTTGCTGCTCATGACTCAGAAGATTAAGGAAAAACAAAGATACTTCTTCTGTGAAAGTTTGGGGGGCATAGAAAAGGTGGGGTACAGGATGGGCAGGATCCAGTCACAAGCCCAGAGATGAGCAGGGTCTCAGTGTGGGATGGGAATCCAGCGCTGCTAGAGTCTGACTGTTGCCGTGCTTCTCCCTCAGACCAAAGACGTGACCAAGGCCATGGATGAGAGGAGATTTGATGAAGCCTTGAAGCTGAGAGGCCGGTGAGGAAATGACCAGGAGCTCACTAGCTACAGAAATCAGATGCCAGAATGAAGCCAAAAATCGACGTAGCTCCAGACCCAAAATAGGAGCTTCTGCTTTCTCCTCTTCTTATTGTCTCTGCAACAGTTTCTTCTGAGAATTAGTTGTGAGATGACCAGGTGGCTCAGTTCAGCCCAGGGATTCTCTCCCTGGCCTTAGCCTTTCATAGTCTGTCATTTCTCTATGTGGACCCAGCTAGATCATAAGTTTCTCTAGGCGAGGGGGGAAGAGTGCTCAGGGAGTGTTTGGTGAGTTAGTGGCCTCTTTGCAGCCCCGCCCAATCCCTGCTCGGCCCCAGTTATGTCCTTAGAGGTTTGCCCTGTGGAACTTCACGCTGGGAGCAAAACTTCAGACCAGATCCCCTTGGCTGCTGGCCTTGGGGAATGGCCTGGAGACACCACCCCTCTCTCCCTCCCGCCCCCTCACTCTCTCTCTCTCTCTCTCTCTCTCTCTCTCTCTCTCTGTACTTTTTTAGGAGCTTCATGAACAACTGGGAGGTATACAAGCTTCTGGCTCATGTCAGACCCCCAGTATCTAAGGTACTGGCAAGTTGCTCTCTTCCCTTATTCTCCCATTATGAAGTGCTACCCTCAATCCACACAACCTACTTCTTTGCCCGCCTGTAATCTTCAGTGCTGAGTCCTAGACCCCACTAAGATAATTTTCTCTCAGTCACCCCAGATGTAAGCCCATGTTCTTAGAGTGCCCTGAAGGTCTCTGAGCCAAGACCCACATCCAGTTCAAGGCTGACAAGATAGCATGCAAGGAATGGGAAAGAAGGCTCATGTATTATTTTCTCTGGGCAAATCTGGAATAATCACATCTAAGTGTATTTGAGCCACCTCTTCCATTGGTGTAGTGGTTCTTAATATTTACCATATACCAGAATTATCTGGGTTGCTTATTAAACATGCATATTCCCCCCCCCCCCCCCGCCTCAGAGGGGATTCAGATCGGGGGTAGGGTTAGGAATATGCAGATTTAACAAGCTCGCTGGGTGGATCTGATACAGCAGGTGGTCCAAGGATCCCACTTTGGGAAACACTGCTCTGGAGGGTCTCCTATTCATTTTGCAGTGATACCTGGGATCAGGGAGCACAGCTTTATTTATTGATCTGTGATGAAGACTTTTGCTTCCCTCGTATGGGGGAGGGCGTTCCCTGGGGGAGGGGTGTGCTGTCAGGACCATAAGGGACTCAGAGTGTAGCTCCCCTCACTGACCTGTCCCCCCACCCCACTGCTGTCCCCCCTTTCCCCCTCTGCTTCCTTCTCCAGAGTGGCTCTTACACAGTGGCCGTGATGAACGTGGGGGCCCCGGCCGCAGGCATGAATGCCGCCGTCCGCTCCACCGTGAGAATCGGTCTCATCCAGGGCAACCGAGTGCTGGTTGTACACGACGGCTTCGAGGGCCTGGCCAGGGGTCAGGTACAGGGACACAAGGAAGGAGGGCGCTTACTTCGGGGCCAAGGAGCAGTGGTGCAGAGGATAAGCGTGGTGGCTGGCCTGCCTGTTCTCGTACCTTCCCCCATCCCGCACTGCCTTTTTCTCCTCTTGGGGTTCAAGCAGAAGTAGATACAGTAGTCCCCCCTTATCTGCTGGGGGCATATCCCCAGTGGATGCCTGAAACCACTATAGCACCAAACCCTAGGTACAGCTGATCCTGGAACAACTCAGGTTTGAACTGCATGGGCCCACTTATATGCAGAATTTTTTTTTTTTTTGGTGGGGTGGGGGGGGCCATGCTGCACGGCTTGTGCGATCTTAGTTCCCTGACCTGAACCTGGGCCCACGGCAGTGAGAGCACCGAGTCCTAACCACTGGACCGCCGGGGAAGTCCCCAGAACTTTTCAGTGGCAAATACTGCAGTACTATATGATCCGGGGTTGGTTGGATCCACGAGTGCAGAGCGGTGGATGTGAGAGCTGACTGTCAAGTTACACGTGTACTTTTGACTACGCAGAGGGTTGGCACCCGACCCCCATGCTGTTTGGGGTCAGCTGTATACTATGTGTTTTTTCTGTACTAACGGGTGGGTGGCATATACATCGTGGACACACCGGGCAAAGGGATGACCCACGTCTTGGGTGGGATGGTGCAAGATTTCATCACACCACTCAGAACAGCATGCAATTTAAAACCTGTGAATTGTTTATTTCTGGAATTTTCCATTTAATATTTTTGGACTGAGATTGACCACAGGTAACTGAAAGCTTGGCAAGTGGAATCACAGATAAAGGGGGACTACTGTATTTAATTTTAGGGCAGTGGGAACAGGCCGCTGAAATGAACCCTTTGCAAACAATGCGTCTGATTTAATTCTCTGTCCCAGAGTTCAGCACAGGGCCTGGCGTAATCTAAGGCGCTTAAGATTTGTGAACGAGCAGAAAGGGGAGGACGTTGAGTGAGGTGGGAAAAGCTGGTGCCTGGCGTTCCTCTGTCCGGGCAGGTGGGTGTAGGGGCGGGGTCAGATCTGAAGGAGTTGTGTCAGGCCACCGGGCGGACCTGTGCAACCTTTCCCTGCAGATCGAGGAGGCTGGCTGGAGCTATGTTGGGGGCTGGACTGGCCAAGGTGGTTCTAAACTTGGAACTAAAAGGTCAGTGCATTACAGGAGCGCCTCCTCCTCGTCGCCCTGAAAGGCGGGCCTCGGCACGCGGGCGTCAGTTCATCCAGTCGGGCTCTGCCTGACCAGTGCTGTCTCTGGGTCCGCTCCCCACAAGCTCACAGTTGCCTCATGGGGGCAGACGAGCCAATCCAGACATCTCTTAGCATCTCTGGCAACTCAGAGCCCCAGCGTGTATCCTCGGACGGGGATGAGAAAGTGGGGTAGGGAAGGGGGCACAAGTTAAGAAACTATAAGCAAAGTGCCTTCTAACTCTAGCGTTTCTCTCCTTCAATTCTGCTGTCTCTTCCCCAAATTCTATTCCCCTCCCCCTGCCCCAATCAACTAGAACTCTACCCAAGAAGAGCTTCGAACAGATCAGTGCCAACATCACCAAGTTCAACATTCAGGGCCTTGTCATCATCGGGGGCTTTGAGGTGAGTGCCCCCACCGCCGTTCCCCCCGCCCCCACCTTCCCTCTCCCCTCATTCCCGCCCCCGCTGCTCTCGTCTTCTCAGGCTTACACGGGGGGCCTAGAGCTGATGGAGGGCAGGAAGCAGTATGACGAGCTCTGCATCCCGTTTGTGGTCATCCCTGCCACAGTCTCCAACAACGTGCCCGGCTCGGACTTCAGCGTGGGGACCGACACGGCTCTCAACACCATCTGCATGGTGAGGGCCACCACTGCTTCCCAGCCTCTGGCCAGGACTCTAATCCCTGGACCGAGTCTGGGCCTAGAAAGTGAGCCACTTGTTTTGTACCAACCAAGTCACAGTGTTAGAAGAATGCTTCTTCAAGCCCCGGCATTTACACACACTGCCTTTAACCGTGCATATGGTGTCCATCCTCCACGCCTTGTGAGTCCTGTCACCTAGAAAGGCGTCTGTACTCTGCATATCAAATGATTTTTCCTTTCTGAGGTCCTACAGCCTAGTTCCCCTACTCCGAGCAACAGGAGGGGTAGGGACAGCTTCCTTCCAGGGGAGGAGTTCCACACTGTGCTTAGCAGACGTGCCTGCCGTCCCGGAAGGCAAGCACTCGATGAGGCGTAGGGGCCCCGCTGGCCTGGGGAGGATGTCGCCCCAGAGTTCGGTGATGGTAGGGGCCAGCAAAGTGACAAGAATCACACCCCTGACCGTGTCTTTCTATGACCTGTTGTCTTTGCAGACCTGTGACCGCATCAAGCAGTCAGCGGCAGGCACCAAGCGCCGGGTGTTTATCATTGAAACTATGGGTGGCTACTGCGGCTACCTGGCCACCATGGCGGGCCTGGCAGCCGGGGCCGATGCTGCCTATATTTTTGAGGAGCCCTTCACCATTCGAGACCTGCAGGTAGACGGCTACCCAGAGCCCCTTTCCCCGCCCCAGTCTCTCCCCACTGTCCCCATGGCGACCTAAGCTGTGAGAGCCCAAGGCGAGGACAGAGCTGATGTGTGGTCTGTGTGTGGAGTCCTAGAAGGAGCACCAGGCGGGCATTCTCTGGTGTAACCTCCTGTACGTGGCCGCTGCTCCTGTTGCCGGGGCATTTGTTTGAAGGGTGGTATGCAGCTAAGCACTTTACGTACGTTTTTGCATTTTATTTTCATAACAGACATGCAAGGGAGCTATTATCTCCATATTACAGATCAGAAAGGTTTAGTGAGGTTACAAAACCTTTCTAAACTTTGAGTAGGTGGTTTAACTGACTGAGAAAGTCACACGCCCACCCCCCACCCCCGCCAGATTTCCCCTGCTACCAAACCGGAGTCCTCATTCCATTTTTTGAGGGGATACCTTTATGATCCTCGTTTTCCAAGATCCCCGTTCATTGGAAGGAAAAAGAGCCACAAAGTGGAGGGCCGCCGGCTGAGGGAACTCCCTAATCCAAGGGCCCAGCCAACCCCTGCCCGCAGTGGAGGGTGACCTTTTCCCTCCTTCACCCCCAACGCAAAGCCCAATGAAGCGACTGCTTCTGGGTGAATCACTGCTGTACACGGACCCGGACGCAACCCGTTTAGAGACCTACACGGAGAGCAGGGTCAGCCCTCTGAGGGAGGGAGAACTGGAAACCCCTGAAGGAGCCGAAAACTGACAGTTGCCACGCTTTGTCCAACTTTCCCTCTGCCTGTTCTGCCTGTCGCATCTGGAGTCTTAATTTCAGTCTGCACTGACCTTCTTAAAGGGCTTAGGCACGGTTCAGGCCCTGGGCTGTAAATAGCCCTCTTCATGTCCCTCTCCCTCCTGCAGATGCCTGGCGGGGAAGAAGGGATCTATGAGCCTGCCCAGCCGGATCCACTCTCAGCCGGGCTTTGGATTTTCTGTTTCATTTTCAGGTGAATGTGGAACATCTGGTACAAAAGATGAAAACAACTGTGAAGAGGGGACTGGTGTTAAGGTACCTCATCCCCGGTTTGCTACTAAGTGAAGAGAAGCAATAGTCAGGCTTTGGCCCTAGTCAGACTGCATCCGTGGCTGGGACACCCTGAGGAGTCTGGATACAAATGGAGAGCGCCTGGCCGCGGGGGTAGATGGAACCGGGAGGGGCAAAGCTGACCAAGGCAGAAGGCGGGTGGAGGGACGGGGACAATGCCCGGCACAGGCTTCGGTCTCTCCTGCAGGAATGAGAAGTGCAATGAGAACTATACCACCGACTTCATCTTCAGCTTGTACTCTGAGGAGGGGAAGGGCATCTTCGACAGCAGGAAGAATGTGCTCGGCCACATGCAGCAGGTGCGGAAGACACGCCATGCCCGTCACCAGACAGCCATAAATAACCCCCAAGAGTCACTGAATCTCCCAGTAGACTCCGACCCGCTGGAGGCTATCGGGGCTGCCACAGAGCGTGGGCCTGCAGGCTTTTACAGTCACAGAATCAGCAATCTTTACCTTGGAAATGGCCTTAGACATTCTGTGGTTCATCTTTATTCAGGGCAGGGTTTCTCAACCTTGGCACTCTTGCCATTTTGAGCTGGAAAATTCTTTGTGGTGGTTCTGTGTGGTGTAGGATTGCTTACTTAGCAGCATCCCTGTACTCCTACTCACTAGATGCCAGTAGCACACCCTCCTCACTTGTACGACTGAAAAAATGTCTCTAGACATTACCATATGTCCCCTGGGGGGCCAAATCGTCTCCAGTTGAGAACCACTGGTTCAGATGAAGAAAATGAGGCCACAGAGGAGAAATGCTTTTTTCAGGGTCACTAGTCAAGCTGGAATGAGGTCAAAATGAGCTGGTCCAGTGCTTTCGCCACCATAGCATGCTGCCTTTTGTGGGGAACCTGTGAGATGAGTACAGGCACCTTGCTAGGGTTGGGCTCCGTCTCTGGAGTTTCAAGGGGAAAGGAATCCCTTTCTATCACCCACATTCAATCCCCACCCAAGGCAGGCCTCACTCACAGATGACACTAGTGGTCTGAGGCCTACCCCATCCCAAATGTCCCCACAGATGCCTCTTAAGCATTGACCTTCGACCTTTCTATACCCACAGATGAGTTCACATTATCTCAGTTTGAATGGGCTTAGCAGCTCCTGCAGGAATGGGGTACCATTGGATAAAGTATGATGACCTATTTTCTGTTTTTCCTTCCTTCCCATTTTCCCACTTCTGCTTTGTTCAGAGAAACTCTGCACCATGTTTTATATTATTCTGAGGTGCTACCGAGAGCATCCAAATTGGGTCACAAGGAACACTTGTGTCATCGATGATGGTGACTGACAGAAGCTGCTAAGCTAATGAGGGGCAGGGAATTGACTGAATGGCCAGTAAGACTAGAAGGAAATGAACAGGGTCATGCAGCTACGGAGCTGGAAGAGGCGACTGTGAGACCAGTCATCCCCTTGTACCGATTAGTTACTCTGAAGTCTGATGACCGGCCAAATACACCAGGCCAGCTTGCCCTGGCTCCCGGCCCTGCTTCAGGATTTCCTTTCACAGTTAGACTTCCGGATTCCTCTTTCTGGTTATAAACTTTCCTCTGTGTATTCCCATCTCTCTGCCACTTCATTAGAGTCCTTCCCCGTGTAATTTTTATGATTCTTTTTCCAGGGTGGGAGCCCAACTCCATTTGACAGGAATTTTGCCACTAAGATGGGTGCAAAGGCTATGAACTGGATGTCTGGGAAAATCAAAGAGAGTTACCGTAATGGTAGGTGGGGTAAGAGGGTGAGCCCCCTTCCTAGAAGCTGGTTCCCAGTATAGAAGCTGACTGACCATCCCTGTTGCAGGGCGGATCTTTGCCAATACCCCAGACTCGGGCTGTGTTCTGGGGATGCGTAAGAGGGCCCTGGTCTTTCAACCCGTGACTGAGCTGAAGGAACAGACAGATTTTGAGTGAGTACCTCTACCTCCTGCGGTGGTTCCCTCCCCGGTAGTTTCGAGATCTACCCTTCCCAAGCTACTCACCTTCTTCAGTCCTTTTCTTTTAGGAGTAACACCTGTAGTCGTACTTACTTCAGATCTGATGCCCAGGCCCCAAATGCAGCCTCTTCTGCTCAACTTCTTCCCATAGGCTTTGATAGAAGTTGATTGGGGTGCTAAAGATTAAATCATCATCTACTTCGTTCCTCTGTAGGCACCGCATCCCCAAGGAACAGTGGTGGCTGAAGCTGAGGCCCATCCTCAAAATCCTAGCCAAGTATGAGATTGACTTGGATACCTCAGAGCACGCCCACTTTGAGCACGTCAGTCGGAAGCGGTCCGGAGAAGCTACCATCTAAACCTCTTTGCAGTGAGAGGAACGGATCGTCTGATCATGGTCAGCTCACCCTGATAGATCCAAGTCCATGCGTTCTCAAGTGTTTCAGCTCAGCTCACTTTCAATTAGGTTTCCTTTTATTCTGTAACTGCAGCCATGGTCAGCTCTGGCCAGGGAGCTGGGGCAGGGGGCAAGTAAGCGTAAGCTCCTTGTAGTTAGAATTTATCCTGACTTCTACCCCAGCTTCATGTGTCACATGAGGCTGGGCTCCTCTAGTGCTACTGCTCCATTTCAGTTACTCGGTTAGAATTTTCCTAAAAATAAGCTTTATTTATTTCTTTGTGATAACAAAGTCTTGGTTCCTCTACTACATTTATGACAGTGACAAACCATAACTACACTAATAAATGCCAACTGGTCACTGTGCTTTTGGTTCTCCTGTTACCATCTTCACAAGTGCATTCCTGTCAGCCTCAAGCACCAGATTCTGCCCAGCGGACACCTAGGAAAATGCAGCCCACGCGCTAACCCCATGTACTTCTCTCTGTTCTTGGACATCTCTTGACTCTGTACACAGGGTCCTAAAACACAGGACACTGTCCTTATCCTCATCCCGCAACTAGTCCCTCCTGCGTCCTCTGCAGCCAACAGGACGCTCCCGTCTTCCTTAAGCATGAAGTTGTGTTTCACCTCTTGATCATCTACCCATTACCCAGCGTTGCTATTTTCCAGCCATCCCCCAATCTCTACTCTTCCTCTGACAATACAGGGTTCTTCCTTCTCAACTTTTCCCCTGTGCTTCTTCCTCGATGAAAGCCAGACACCATCGGTGGGGAGACAGGTACATCTTGAATGCCTGGGAAATAGAGACACCCAGTCCTGGACCTAGTTTGGTGGGTGGTTGAAATACTGATTAGGAAAATTGTCAGTTCTTATTCAGCTCAATTTGTTTTCTGTCCCATACTGCCTCATGGGCAAGTATCCATGTAATACAGTTGGTTCTTAGGATTGGGACTACAGACTGTTCCCCCAGTTGATAGGATGCTTCCCTGTCAATGCCAGGCTTGAGATTAGTCTCCAATAATCAGATCCTGGCTCTTGGCACAAGTGTACATATTCCTCCCAACCTACACAGTTTCCTCGCTTGCTTGCTGAAGCAGGACGGAAGTTTGAGGTTTTACAAGGGATGGAGGAAAGGATTATCTGTAGTACTTCACTTTTGCTGGCTGTCCAAAGTATAACTGCTATACCCTAAAAACAGTTCTAAAAAATGACCGAGGGCTTCCCTGGTGGCGCAGTGGTTAAGAACCCGCCTGCCAATGCAGGGGACATGGGTTCAAGCCCTGGTCCAGGAAGGTACCACATGCCACGGAGCAACTAAGCCCGTGGGCCACAACTACTGAGCCCGCGTGCCACAACTACTAAAGCCCACGCGCCTAGAGCCCGTGCTCCGCAACAAGAGAAGCCACCGCAATGAGAAGCCTGCGCACCGCAATGAAGAGTAGCCCCCGCTCGCCACAACTAGAGAAAGCCCATGCGCAGCAACGAAGACCCAACACAGCCAAAAATAAATAAAATAAAATAATTTATAAAGCAAACAAAAAATGACCGAGAAGTCTTGTCAGAGCCCAGCATTAAAGCAGCCAAATGCTCTTTGTACAGTTCTTTAAGGGGAAGAAAAATTAATATCAAGCACTGTTATCACTGATTCTTCAAAACAGCCAATGCAGGTGGTGGTGACAGCCCCATTTCAGAGATGAGGACACTGAGGCTCACGGTAATTAAATAATGTACAGAAAAGTAGGAACAGTAGAAATTGCCAAACTTGCTTTTAGAACTGTTTCTTTCTTTTTTTTTTTTTTAAGTGAGCAAAAAACACCAACAGCAAAAGGACAAAAGCGGACAAACTTTTTCAAATTAGCTGTGTCAGCAGATTCTGTTCATTTTTATTTATAGTTCCCAATCAGTTAAAAAAAAAAGTTTTCCACATTTGCATAAGGTCATCTAGGATCAATAACAACTTGATCTAGTTTAGGAACATGAAAAGGGAGAGTACTGTAGACTAAGTATTGTTCACTAAAACAGATCTTTTTTGGGTAGGTGGGTCATCTCTGAGGAAGCTCTTATAATGCTCCTCCCCCACTCCTCAACTCTCCACCCCCTCCACCAATGTCTAGTATAGATCAGTAAAAAGTAAAGTTTCCAAAACACCTGAAAACAAAACAAAACAAAACAAATTCCAAACTCTTAGCAGAGTGAATGAAGAAGACCAGAGAGAAAAGGCAGCCCAGCCCACGTCCTCCTGTGCTACAGCAAACACCTCTGCCTACGGCGCAGGAAGTGCCTGTCAAGCCCACTAGAGCAAACTGGCTGTCAGGAGGAGAAAGAACTGCATTAGAAGAAAAGTTCTGAGGACTGTTAGTTCTTAGGACTGCTTAGAACCTCCTATCCCTTCTACTATATGGAAAGCAGCAAGACAGTCTTTCTAAAATAATATTGCTGAACTACTGTGACCCTTGGGCACACCCATGGAAAAGAAGCAAAGGCTGCCCTTCCCTTCGATGGTGAGAAAGGGGGCCAGTCCCTTCTGAATGCCCCAGGATGATTCTAGGGATATCATCCAGCCCAATTCTGAACCTGCACACCATTTGAGGTTGTAGTATCTTCATTTGGGGGCTGCAATTGTTAGCTGGAATTTTCTTAAACGTCTTCACAGATCAATTAAAATGTTTCTAAGAGGGATTCTTCTGAAAACGTTAATCAGGTCCCCAAAGGAAAACCAAACACATGTTCTATAAATACGCTTCATCTTCCGAGACAAATTTAGTCTCGCTGTTGACTTTTTCCCTAAAGGGAGGGTTAGGGAGGCCTCTTCCTTTTCAGGGTGCAATATGAAAGGCCAGGTAAGTAAGAAACAGAAACAAAAGTGAGGGACGTGTTTGGTTGCTTGGTTTGGGGAGGGGAGGTGACGTGGAGGTTACTGTTGTGACATGTTGCCTCGAAATAGAAACCACAGAGCAGGAACAACTGCTTTCCCTGTTTTCCAAGACAGAGACAGTGCTGCAGGGCAAAACCTCACCCAGAGTTGCCTGCCTGACGGTGCACTCGTCTCCTCTGGGCTATTCTACGAGTAACAGGTATTCCTTCAGAGAAGCTGGCAGTGGAAGGCCCTTCACCGCACCCGGCAGATACTGGAGTCCCAGGCTCCGGCGCACAGCATAGCGAGAGAGGGTTTTGAGGGTCCCTGGGGCTGAGCACAGAACAGTCAGTTTTTCACAGAGCTGCTGGTCTTTGGCCACTTCTCGTGGCATGGTGCCATTTTTCCTTAATTCAAAGTGCCCCACAGCTCTGCGGAGGAGCTCAAAGCAAGAGTCCTCTTTCTCTGTTCCAAGTCCCCTGACTAGCAGAGCCACCAGGCGGGAGATGGGCGTCTGGCCTTTTAGGTTGATGACTCTGACCTCTGCACCATAATCAAGAAGGATGCTGATGCTCTCAAGATTTCCCTTCATGGCAGCCCAGCTGAGCGGGGTGTCATTGTTGTAATCCAGGGCATTGACAGAGGCCCCGCTCTCCAGGAGGGCGCGCACACACTCGGCATTGTTCTTAAAGGCTGCCCAGTGAAGTGGGGTGTCTCGGTTGCCGTCCAGTGCATTGGGGTTTGCACCATATTCCAACAGGACCTCCACACAAGCCTCATCTTTCTCAGCTGCATAGTGGAGGGCTGTTCGGTTATAACCATCCAGGGCATTCACCTGTAAAGGGGGAGCAACTACATTACAGTGTATAGACGACTGAGAGGACGACAGGCTGGCAAAGACACTTGCATGTGTCTATCCGTTGCCTTTGCTATGTAGCATTCTGAACATGAGGGTCAACAAGCAATTCCCAGGGAGTCATGGTGATCAGGATGGAGCTATGACAGGAGCTGAGGAGCAAATAGGAAAACAACTGTCCCCAGACAACCGACACTATGATGTCCACCGATTAGCTGGCCTGCATTATCTAGGGTTTTGCTTCCACATTCTTATTTACTATTCACTAGGACCTCTACCACAGAGTAAGGGGAAAGAAAGAGAAGATGAAGTCTAAGTCCTCGTAACTACTCTGAAAGATGTTTATTAGAAAGCGGCTTGCATATACTGGCCAGAGAAAAGGTTTTGGATTATTTTACTTATCCTGACTCACTCTGTATCCCGTGGCTAACGGCAACCAGACTGAAAAATAATGAGGTCAAGATTCTGCCCGTGTAGCTCTGCTGTGTTCTTTAACCATCCAGAGAAGCTCAGATTGTTCATCCAAGTCAGCCCCCTGCAAACATCTGCTGTGAGGTCACAAGAGAGCCTGGAGGAAAGCATGTGGAGGAAAGAACACAGATCTTCCAGTGCTGGAAGAGCAGCTGGCTTGCTAAAACTCAGCATCACCTATAATTTTTGAAGGTTACAAAGACTTCAGATCCCAGGTTTAAATAGCGAATTATCTTCTCCCATGAAAGGCACTAAAAAAAAAAAAACCCTGCAATATTTAACTGAGTTCAACCTTCTACTTAGCTAAAAACTGCCTCCCCCACCGCCCCCTGGGGTAGTTTCACTTTTATCATTGACATTAATCACTGGCTTTCACTTCAGGGTCACTCATAAAAGTTACGGGATAGTTAATGACAAGTAGAGAACAACATGGCGGTGTGGAGGTGAGGATGCGGGGGGCTGCAGCAGGCTTACCGACCACTGTGTCTGGGGCCTGCACACCAGCTTCATGGCGTGTGTGATTCAGATGAGTGCCGCAGCGTGTGCACCTTGAGGATGCCTCAAAAGCTGTCGAAACTGCTGATTTATTTATTTAATAGGCACTTACTTAGTAATTACTACATGCCAGTGCTCTAAACAGTTTACAACCTTATGAAGAAGACACCACTATCATCCTCATTTTACAGATGGGGAAACTGAGGCAAAGAAAGGTTAAGTAACTTGTTCAAGGTCACACAGCTGGAAGTGACAGAGCTGGAATTCAAATTTATGAAGTACGGTTCCAGACTCTGTTCTTTTAATCATTCATTATACTATGCTGCTTCTTGCTAATGCCAATTAAAAGTAATCTGTGTTTTTTTATGTTAAGATACATTCGCAAGAAAATAGGAACAAGATATGCTAAGACAGAAAAAAAATCAGTGGGCAGAAAGAGCACAAGTAGCTCAGTCCTGGGGAAGGGACTGCCTAGTGATCTATTTTCCAGTGACAGAGGTATTAGGAGTGTACATCCAGTAGCAAGTCTCAAGTGGTTTACGTTGGATCAGGGTTGAGGGGCCTGGATAGTCAACAGGCAATGAGAGGATTAAATGGAAATATAAACAACCCTAGAAGGAAGGCTGAGAGATTAAGGGGAGATTAAAAATTCCCTCTTCCTGGAGTCATGGACAGTGTAAGAAAGAA